CCTATAAAAAAACAAATTTCAGCACAAGTGGGACAGCTAGTATTATAATATAAACAATAAACATGGTTATTAATATAACGTAAAACACTCATTATTTGAGAAAACCCTCAAGTTTTTAATAATATTTCTTTTACATAATTTTAAGTATAGTAACAAAACAACATTTCATACGATTTGTTATGGTTATAATTTTTAAGTTTTTTTTTTTTGTTTTTTGAATGGCAACATAGGTATATTTTTAGTTTCATAACCCAAATCAGAATATTATTCATTAGGTATATAGAATGTAGCAAAAGTCGGTTCCTCAATTTAATAATAATAAGCAGTTTTTCGATAACGAGATAGCGACCTATGCCGCTCTCTGTATTTTGATCTATTTAAATCAAATTTCAGACAAGTGGTTTGTTAGTTATAACTTATAGGGATCTATAAGTGATAAAAGTTTACCTAGGCACAAATAACTTTGAGATTTGGCCGGGGGAGGGCTTACTGCTTAGCCTCTAAATTAACCACCCCCTAAATATATGAGCCTGTGATTATGCAGGTAGGTAGGTACCTATATCGTATATACCACTAAAAAACAATGACATTTTAAGATGCTGAAATGTTTTAGGAAAAAATTAATTCAACCTTCTGTATTAGATACCTACCTACACTATTACTAAATTTCCTAGTGTGGCGAGGTGTTTGGCTTCAGTCAAAAACCTGTTCTGAGTGTAAGCACCGGCCTGTGTCACTAGCTCCCAGATGGGTGACACCCCGGGTTCGGGGTTTATTGACAAATCCTTGCTATAAATACACGTGTTCAGACTTATAATCTACATAGTAACCTCCCCCATAGCAACAGCTGGCTCAATAAAAAAATAATAATAATAAATGATGTATTATATAGCAATAGATATAATAAGATATAATTAATAATAACTATAGGTTGACAGATCACAGATCGTCTTCGCATATAATAGTTTATTGGCTTTTCGTAACCTATAGCGATGGAGTACGATGTGTAGATTTTAGTAGACATTGATATATACCTACATAGGTACACGATTCCAAGAATTTCTTATACGTACCTATTATAAACGATTCCACAATTATTTTAAATGCAACGTACGTTTTCCGTTGCCATTCGGAAATAAAATATATGTATAATATTATTCAATTATTGTAACATAATATATTATAAATCTTTTTGTGCTTTAAACGAATCTGCGCTTTTGAAAATAAAACTTTCAGAAAACATGATTTTAGTTTACATTTTACACATTATTGGATTCGTTGGATTATCATGTTTTTTATTGTGGCTTGGACTTATGGTTAGTTATTTCCTTATGATGAGAAATATCATAAGGATTAATTTGATATAAAAACTCTCTTTTCGTACCTATATGTCATAAACACTATCAAATACCAATTTTTGTTGTCTCCGTCTTACACAAGGACGACATAGCAAATTGTCGTTCACTAGTTTCAATAGAGTGCTGTTATTAGTTTTGATACTAGAGTGAATTGAAGTACCTACTATAAAAATTTTAGGTAAGAACATAATCGGTTCTTAAGCGTTGCTGATTTTTCAAAATTTGCATTTTCAAGCAAGATATGGGTATTTGAAATATCAAAAATTAAAAATACTCATATCTCTTTTGAAAATTAAGATATCGAATAAAAGCCAACGCTTAAGCACATGTAATGTTATAATGTAATAAATTTATGATAGGTCAAATCACTGTAATATCAAAACTAACAGCACACTATTGAAACTAGTGAACGAAAATTTGCTTTGTCGTACGTGGTAAGACAGAGACAACAAATGCTGAAATGCATGAGGAGCATCCTCTTAAAATAGCCACCTATTGGTATACCTACAATGAATAATGATGTATTATAATTTATAATTGAATTTAAATTTGACACAATATCCATTACAGTGACCCATTTCGGGAATTACCCGTTTGCGCCAAAAACAATTAATTAGTTTTTGATCCAGTCTATATTGGCTGCGTACGAGTTGATTCCCGGGTACCTGTTTACCTGCACTGATACCGTTGAGTTGATTCCCGGGTTATCAAGACTCAAGAGGCATGTACAATGTACTTATGTACGAGTTGATTGATTCCTTGGTCATTATTAGGGCTGGGATTTTAATGCCCTACAAATGTGTAAGTACTATTATAACCAGGGCTCGTAACTTCATGCACTAAAAAATGCATAAATAAGCATGCATTCATGCACTAAAAATTGTCAAAATATGCATTAAAATATGCACTTAAAAGTTCGAAAATATGCATTTATATGCCTTCACATTTTTAAATTTTGAACTCAAAATATGCATTATGTAAAAAAAACATGACCAAATTTTAAAATAATAAGAATAAATCCATACATTTTAAAAGTATTTTATTCCTTTTTATTTTTACATATTTAACAGTCAAAATTAATAAAATAAAAAATAAAATTAATACTTGTGAAGTTCAAATAGCTTTGACATCTTTATAAATTTTAATTAGGTAGTCATTTTTGTCTAATTTGTGTACACCCTTATTCAGCACCAACAATGAAAACATTTGGAATTAAATATTAGGTTTTTCATTTTGAGATAATTTAGTAATATATTATATTTTATAAGTGTATTTTTTATGTTTTCCAACTTAAGAGGGCGCACTAGTAGACAAAATATGGCATAAAACCATGGTTTCGTAATTCAAGTAATACAGCGTATTGAAGTAGTTTACAGTAAAAATACCTATTATAAAAATTGTAGAGTAGAACTTTTTTTACAATCGTAAGAAGCCCGATTTTCGATATTTTTATTAATTAGCTAAATAATTAATCAATAAAAAATTTAAAAAACCGTTATAATTTACCATGCGATATTGGACGATTGGAACAAGATATCAAAAATCGGAAGAAACCTTTCAAATTTTTCAAATTTGTCTAAAAAATATTTTTATGAAATAATATGCACTAATAACTGTAAAAAATCAACTATATGCCAAATATGACTTTACACCCAAAACATGCAAAAACATGCACTATCAAACTTCATATTATTATTACTATTGTTATGAAACGGATTTGTATCACAGTTAGCATGTTTTCCTGTGTAGCAAAAAAAACATGCAGATGCATGAACTTACGAGCCCTGATTATAACTATTATTATTTTTTTTATACCAATAGCCTATCAATAAAAAAATATTAAATTAATTAAATAAATGAACAATGAATAAAACATACTTACAGTAGATAAGTACCTAGTACCTACTACCCATTTACCTACCTATTTCAAATTTAAACTGATAATTTATAAAAATATATTCAATTTGGTAAATAATTTAATTGTTTAGTTATAACTTATGACTATAAGTAGGTAATAAATATTTTAAAACAATTTTGTTGAGGTTTTTTTTAGATATAGGTACCTACCTAAAATATTTGTTTATTTTTAGTGCATAAACATCAAAGCCCTACTATAATTAGGTAGGTACCTACCTACTTGTAATAATGTTGTGTGTTTGATCTGTTAAGAAATATTGTTTTTGAATATTGATGAAGATGAAAAATTCTTAAATTTGTATTATTTATTATTTAAATGAATATCTGTAAATGTACATAGTTATTGACCTCAAATTTAAACTAGAACTATAGAAATTATTATGTTTTTCAGAACTATTGAGAAATTAATTACAACTGTTGACAATATAAAAATTGAAAAAAGATTATAACAAGAATTCTGAATTTGAATGAATAGTTTCTGTTGAAAGACATGATTTGGAAATCATTACTCGTATTAATTCAAACAAAAAATCTAACTTAAAAAAAAATCATCATGAGGGTGTGTTATAAAGTAATTTATAGATTGACTAATCTGAATTTGCATAAACTCATAAATACTTTTGAAAAGCCTCATGTATAGTACAATATATGCGATTATAGATCTGCATAAACTTTGGTGTTAAAAACACAACAGAATTCACACCTGAAAAACCTTACAAAATGTAATACAATGTTTGTGATACATCATTTAGACATTTTTCTACTTTGAAAACACACATGATGAGAACTCATACTATGGAAGACTTGCAAAACATATGATTATAGAGGTTCTTCATTTTCATTGTTAAAGTCTCATACCAGATTGCATACCTACTAGAGATAAACCATGTAAATCTGACTTAAGTAATCAAGCTCATGTTACAAGGTCAAAGCTGTTCATTCATAAAAGGAAACATACAAGGGAAGAGCCTTATAAATGCAATATATGTTTTAAAACATTTACTAATAAATCCAGTGTAAGAATTCATATAAGTTCTCATAGATTTCAGCTTTAATAGCTCGTTTTATCTAAAACGTTAGATAGAAAGTATACCACTAAAAAGTGCGTAAACGACAGCTATTATTGTTTATTTTTCTTCTACATTGCAAACAGGAACACGAGGAAATACATATTTATGTATTATGATCATAATGTATAACATTTCTGTATCAAGTTATCAAAAATATAATCAGATATAATATTCAAAATGAGTTTATATTTCTTGTGTGTATTATTTTAAAGATAGAATTACACATTTTAACATAGAAATATTGTTGTACAAAACAATGGTAACCATTAATTTGAATAATAAATAACATAATATTAAGAATAAATATAACAATATCTATTTAAGTCTTGTAAGCATAAAAAAAAAATCGTATAACATGGTATATGGTAGGAGTATAAGTAAAAAGTGTTACAACATAAAAGTTATAATTATATAATTATGAAAAAAAAAATGTAACAAAAATATATATAATAGAATTCTATTGTATAGAACTTATTGATTATTTTTTTAAAAAATGCATACAAAAACAAGATTATTAAAAAAATTTAATAAAAATAAATTTAAAATTGTATAATTATGTAAAAAAAAGGAAGACTTAACTTATTCACAAAATGTTATTGGTCATGTTTAAATGTATTTGACACAATACGTGTATCAAATACAATTGGTTATAGTCTCAAGCATTTATGCTCTTCGTTCTTTCAACATAGTTTCCTATTTCATGGTCTTCCGTGTCTTCATAGGAGTTTAACAATTGATTTTCAGCTTCAGAAACAGTTGTTTTTCCCATCAATAACCTAAAGCATAAATATCTTTGTGTTAAAATTTTGTATTATAAAATTATATAAATAAAAAGTATAGTAAAATATATAAAATTAAACTCTAGAAGCGATGAAAGAATTATTCATGCATATAATGCCATGTATCGAGTTATAAGATATATAGTACATACTTAGATATTGTAGAAGAAGTCGATGCTCTTATCATAATTGATGGTTCAATATCGTCTAATCCTCTATGCAAGGAGATTGTATCAAGTTCAGTTTGAGATCTTGACAAATATTCTGGGGTAGTTAAAGTGGCTGAAGTTGGTTTTTTATAGCTATAAATAATTTAAATTATAATAATAAATTATCTGATGCAAATTATAATATAAAAAAAACTGTAAATACAAACATCTTAAGTAAAAGTGAAGATCCAACAACAGACACCGAACTTAATGCCATTGCAGCTGCTGCCATCCATGGCTGAAATGGTAACACAGATTTAGTTATGCGTGTATGTTTTTGAAGTTTATTATTTATGTTATTAAATTACTTGTAATGTGACGCCTAAAGGACTAAAGACACCAGCAGCAATCGGTATACCAATTAAATTATACATACTAGCAAATAAAAAGTTAAGTCGAATTCGTCGGACGGTTTTATTGGACAAGTCAAAACAACTGACAACGTCTAGAAGATCATTCTGTGAAATGTTAATGTTGTTAACATCAAATATAACTAATAAAATAATAACATTATATTCTTAAGTCATAACACACTTACTCTCATTAGGACTACGTCTGCTGCTTCAACAGCTACGTCTGTGCCAGAAGAAATAGCAATACCAACATTTGCTTGTGCCAGAGCCGGAGAGTCATTAACTCCATCACCAACCATTGCTACTCGTATACCTTTCTCCTGTAGAGCTCTGATCTTGGCTACTTTATGTGACGGCAATACTTCAGCAAATACCTTTTGTATTCCTACTTGTTTTGCTACCGCGCTGGCTGTTTTTCTATTGTCTCCTGTCAATAACATCACTTGATAGCCACGCTTCATCAACGTATAAACAGCTAGATGAGCTTCAGGTTTAACCATATCTGATACACTGATTGTTGCTACCAACAAACCTTAAGAAATTATTTTAATTAGTATCAAGTTTCCATTCATATATTTGATAAGTCATATAAGTTATAGTTGATAATAAATAGTACCATTAATGGCACACATGATTGCTGTATGGCCTAGGGTTTCTTCACTGATCATTTTAAAATTAACTTCTTTTGATAAATTAACACCATTTCTAAACATCCATTCACGATTCCCAATCAATACCTGAAATTTAAAATATTTTGGTTTATTTGAACAAATTTTGTTATATACCCATGATTTCTATGATTTTTTTTTACTTCATATTTGGTTTCATTTGGTTTTTTCTCTTCATTAATATCTAACAATTTATGTAATTGTATTGATTGAACTTGTGTAGGAGGTTTTCCTAAAACCAGTTCAACAATTATGTTGTTAAATTCAAATGATGATTCATTCGTTCCACTTCTATACATTATGATACAAAAAGGATTAACAAAAAAGTACTTGAGTTAACACTGTGGAATTACAACCTTATATGGTTTTCGTAGTTCATAATGAAATCTGATTTAGTTCCATTTTTGAATAAGTCATCAATATGAGATACCACACATTTAATACCACATCCAGCAACAGATTGAAAACGTTCACATTTTCCAGATATCTCACATTTAAACATTTCTTTTATAAATTTCACCAGCGCTAAAGAGTTGAATAAACATATTTTTGTACAAAAATAATGAATAATATGTTATAATAATTACCGGAAGCTAAAGGATGTTCACTACTAACTTCAGCGTTAGCAACTATGGACAATAATAGACTGAGCGAACAGATCATGTCGTCTACAAATAGACAAATCCTTGATACAGTGGGCTTTCCGTATGTGATAGTACCAGTTTTATCAAACACAACATATTTTACCTAAAATAATAATACTTTATAATATGGTAAATAGAATTTTCTATATAACTTTAAAACTTTGAATCTTACTTTATGAGCATTTTCTAATGCGTCTGCACCTTTTATCAGTATACCATTAAGTGCTCCAATACCAGTTCCAACCATAACAGCTGTTGGAGTGGCCAAACCTAGTGCACACGGACAAGCAATGGCCAGAACACTCAATGCACATCTAAATGAGTATTGAATAGCATTTTCCCATCCGTCTGGACCATATTTTTCATCATCCTTCATAAAAATAAAAATTAATATGTGCTAAAAACCTCAACAAAGTATATCATTTTACTGAAATAGGTAGATATTTAGTATAATAGCGACCAATGAAAAGCCACGATACAAGTGTGATGGTAGATATTGCTACTACGGCTGGAACAAAATAACCAGCAATACGATCAGCAAATTGTTGAATTGGAGCTTTAGAAGTTTGAGCTTGCTCAACTAGTCTTACAATTTGAGCTAACATAGTTGCTTCTCCTGTATAAGTAGCAACCATCAGTAGAGGAGCTGTCTGATTTAATGAACCTCCTATTATTAAGCTACCTATGAAATATATATTTTTATTATCATGTTGTAATACAATATTTTATTTTTATTTACTTGGCTTTTTGTTCACTGGCATAGACTCTCCAGTAATCAAAGATTCATCACATGCTGAACGCCCATGAATAACTTTTCCATCAACTGGAACTTTTGTACTAGGTAATACCTAATTGAATAATAAATAAAAATATAATACATAAGATTAAACCATTTTTTTTTTAATGTATAATACCTTAAGGATATCTCCTCGTTTAACTAGATCAACATTAATTTCTTTTTCAGTTAATATTTGGAAGTCATCAGTAATGGTCACCAACAGAGCATCTGTAGCTTTCAAGGACAACAATTTAGAAAGGGCTTCAGACGTTTTCCCCTAAAATTATGTAAAATTGTAACTTCTATTTTATATATACAATTATTATAATTATCAATTTTACCTTAGCAATATGCTCCATCCATCGGCCAAGGGATATAAACACAAATAACATAGGCGGTGTATCAAAGAAAGTCATTGGACTAGTATGTTTAGCTGGTGTTTCAGTGATTGCAATGAGTACAACAATGACTGAGTATACATAAGAAATGGTAGTAGCTACTGATACAAGGACATCCATATTGGTGGTATAATGGCGTATGGCTTTCCAAGCTTGTACATGAAAATGCCAACCTCCAATAAACTGTAATTATATTTTACTACAAAATTAATATTTCATCATTATTATATGCTTACTTATTTTGATAAATACCTGAACTGGAGTCGATAAAAGAAACATAATCAAATTTTCAAGTGAAAGCCCAGGAATCACACAGCACATAGAAGAATGATCAATAAAGTTAAATGTCATACCCATCATGAAATAGGTCATAGCAATCATACATGGACCACCAAACAGTAATGACACAAAAAATGAATTACGCCATTTTTTTATTTCTTCACTAAAACAAAATCACAATATTTTATAAATAAAATATTAGTATACATTAGTCAAATAAAAAGTATACCTATGATTCAAATAACTGCGATCCCCTCTATCTTTATTGTTCACCAGGTCAGCAGTAAATCCTAGGCTAACAATATGGTCAGCAATATCTCGTGGACTAATTAGATCACAATCGTAAGTAATTACTCCTTTTTGAGTTGTGAGTGCAACTATAGCTGTTTGTACTCCTTTCAGTTTCATTAAATTTGATTCAATTTTGTTTACACAAGATGAACATGTCATACCTCCAATCTAATAAAATACATATATTATTTTAATAAAATAAAACAAATAATTTGTACAAATTTATAAGTCAAAATAAACAAATATTTACTCTAAATTCAGTTTGAGTAATACGTGAATTTGTGTCAGCCAATACATTACAAGGAAAGCCTAAATCAGTAACTGAATTAGCCACATCTTCTGGTTGCACTAATGCAGGGTCATATTGTACTTCAGCTTTTGCGGCCATTAGTGCAACTAATACACTCTTAACACCTACAAAAAGAAAGAGAAATGTCAAAACAAAAGATTATAAATTTCACTATAAAATAGTACCTTTAATTTTAAGACAGTGTTTTTCAATAGCAATAACACAAGATGCACATGTCATGCCTTTGATGTTCAAGTATGTTTTACTGTATTCGTCTTCAGGAACAAACATACTAAACACATTACTGGGAGCTTCAACTTTTTGATCATTTAAAGAAACTTTAAATTTTGTAGACAAATTTGATATGGCAGATGCTAATTGTGAATCATTTATGTCCCCGGGGCGATGGACAACAGTTGCTTCTTTTTGTTCCAAGCTAACAGATACTGATACAACTCCATTCAAAGCTCCAATTTTACCTAGGAAACCATGGTAAGTTGAACATTTTAAAATATAATTTTAAATTAGTAAATTACTTTCAATGTTTCGCACGCAATTCTTGCAAGACATTCCATCAACTTTTATCACAGTTGTAGTTTGGTGAATTGGTACTGTGAAACCTAATTCTGCAATTATTGATTGGAGTTCAAAAACTGATATGGCATTTGAATCGTATACAACATTTGCACACTTTTGTTCAAGATTCACCTATACATGTACATAAATCCAGTTATGAAAAATTTATAATGGCAACACAAATATATAAATATTACTTGAATGCTAAAAACGCCATTTTTTTCTCGAACACAGCCTTCAATTTTTTTTACACATGAATTACATTTCATACCTTCCACTTGTATTGATACCTCAGTTTGTTTTTCTGGCTCAAATGACACTAGATAGCCCATTTTTTTTAAAACTTCAACAAATATTGAGAAACTAGTTTGATTTACGTCATAAAGCACACGCAAATAGTTTGGTCCAATTGTTACAACCTTAAAGCAATTTAATCTAATTATAATAATATAGGGAGTCAACATATTTTTAAATTAATATTTAATATAACATTCTGGATTTTTGAGATAAACTCATGTGCAAAGTTTGAAATCTGATATTCTGGACAATTTACATAAATTTCTAACTCCGCACATAGAAATATCGTATCAGAAAACTCTTAATAAAATATTAATATACGATGTTTTGACATTGGACATCAATGGTTTTAGAAATGATTTCTATTCACCTGGAGTATACCAGTTTGGTCAAGTATTACACTGGCTGCTTCAGCGGCTCGCGAAACAACAGTTAATATAATAGTTTTGTGTCTTTCAACTGTCTCCGAGTCAACTAATTTGTCTGATATGTTATTGGGCGGTAAACTATAATAAAATACATATCAAATTTAATATAATATACAATTTAAATTCATCAATATTTGTACTTAATAAACTTTTTTTTGACATAATTGTAGGTATATATTCTAAAACTATCTTACCAGCCATCATCATCATCATTTATCAATAAAGAATATGCCATTTTATTATTTATGAATACTATGAATTAAACATTAAGTAGGTAAACTAAATCGAGAGTTGGGTTATGCATCAGTAATACTGTTCATACTGATAGAAAATATATCAATGAGGCGAAACTTGGACTATGAAATAATAATAAGAGATAACCTAAGTGACCAGAAATAAGATAAAACTTATTTTGAAACATTATAATAAAACATTTAACATAATTAATATTTTAAACTGCATAAATTATTTTAATCTATTAATAACTGTTTATTATTTCATGCACAAAATGTCATAGTATAATAATCAATTATTATTGGAATATGAAGGTAATTAAAATTAAAGGACCATATAATATCTACACTAGTATAGGAAAAAGAATAAATCAAATAAAACAACTGTGCTCTATAGTTTGTAGTTTTATTAATATTATAAAATGTATTATGTATAAAGTATGATAATATACATAATACCTAGTTAACACTAATTGATTGAGACTAAGTTCAAACTTTATATAAATATAATAATAATGGTGATGATATTAAATACCAATTGCAATCATAAACAAGGTAAGATCATTTTATGTTATATAGATGTTACAAGGATTAATTTTAGATTCAATAAAATTTATAATATATAGAAACATGTTTATAACACAAGAATATTTAATGAAATCAAAGGTCTTTTAAACAGTAAATCCATACTTTCTAATTTACATGAAATATAACAGTTCAATTTAATTGGGACAATTCAATAAAAGTATCTACATTGTATACAATGAATATAATGTTAAATAAATACAATTGTTTAGATGTTTGTTTGGTGTAGGTAACAACAACATGATACACAAGTATTTTATGAGATTATTTGTATAATAAGCTTTGCAAATAAAATATTATTTATTTATTTTATACATTTGATAAGAAGATGATGATTATTGATTATTATAGTTTAGAAATGAAAATACTTACTAGGTAAGTTAGTTTAATACAAGTTATTACACTATAGATACCTGTTTGTAAACCAAAGTTAAGTAAACAATCAAACCATTTTCTTTGAAACAAAAAATAAAATTAGGTATTACAAAATTAGAAGAAAAAAAATTGTTTATACAAATAATGATTAATCAATAAAATGTTAAAATGAATTATATATAAATATAATTAGTAATTAGTTTTAATGAATTTGATATATTACTTTTCAATGACAGTAAAAAAACAATTTCATATTTATTTGCTCAGAAATATGTATAAATTAATAGAGATAAGAAGAAATTGTATACATACATATGAATTGTTACATTTTAATTCAATGCATAACACAGACCTTGGAAAGTGGCAAGAGCAAAAACTAGAATAAACCACTTTCACCAGTTGTAGGTACTAAAATTCTTACACGTTCCAAATCCCCCTCTGTTAAATTTACAATAGGTAGGTTTATCAAGACTTAATATTTAATGATAAAAATATTATATTGGTAAATATAATTACCTATTTCTAGTAATTAGTGGTAGTTATGTAGGTACAACAGGTACTTTTCATAACTTATCAACCTAAAAATATAATCTAATGTCTAATAAATACATAGTGTTTTACTATTTTAGTAATAATATGAGATACTTGAATGATACAATTTTGCACTGTTTAAGCTAAAGATTAAAAATTGGTATATCTCTTAAGAATAGGTACTCAAAACAGAAAGATTGATTGAATTGATTTAGCAGTAACTAGTTTGAAAATTGTTCAAACATCATTAATCATGATACATGAGAATAACCAATAGGTATCAAGTTCTTACTATCTAGTAAGTACTTAATTTACTATCTGTAAACATAACATATGTAATTTATGAAGCCGTTTTTAAATTTATATAAACTATTAAAATATGTAATATACAATATTATAAAATTTTGTATTAATTAAATACACAAATTCAAATAAGCAGCATATAGATAAGAATATTACGCATACAAGTGATTGGAAAAATTTATATTTTTAGTAACACTTTCTGATCTCTGAAATGTATTAATAATTTATATTCTAAAGAAATACTCAAAAATATTTATTTAATTTATTTATTGTATACATTTTATACATTGAGAACATTTTAAATTTAAATTATTGGTTTTGTTTGATTTACCCTCTGCTTTACCTATAATATGGATAAACAATTCTTAATAAAGCATCGTGACATGGGTAAACTGACAAGTAAACTTGTATCGGTAGTTGCAAAAGTATTTAACTCTTTGAGGGACCGTAGTAGTACAGTAGTCGGTAACAAATTAAAGTATTTTATTTGTTTATTTGTTTAGTATACCTAACACAATTTATATTTTATATGTTAAGAAACATTTGAATTATTTTTTGTTAACATTTTAAACAATGTATTATTTATTAAATATGTATTAGAACATAGTAATTGATTAAATTAAATAATAAATAATTAAATTACTTATTTTTCAAAATGAATTGATTTCCCTGTGAAATAGTTAAGTATAATTATTGGACATTAATTAGTCCGAATAATCGGAGTTCTACTGTACTATTAAAACAACTTATGAGGAACCTTGTATTACATTTTCAAGCTTCTTAACTAAACGAAAAAAATTTAATCAACATTATCTATAGACAAATTATAAAAAATTTCAAATGTCTATAAATAGCTTAAAACGAGTTTAAATAATTTTTAAATTTTATAGTGCTTAGAAAATTCAGTATTTGTTTAGTATGTGACCTATCAAGACGATTATCTGTATTCCATATTATGTACAGATCTATTAACAGACAAGATACATTTTTATAAGTGATATACAAAAAGTGTATTACGTACTAAATATTTTTTTAAATAAAATAATTTTATGACATTTTTTGAATAATTTTGATATATTGCTATAATATTATGTATGTGTATTCAATATTCATACATTTGTTTGTTTTGATTATTTTTACGTAACTTATTGTATTCCTGTATTATTTTATATTTGTACTACTAATTAATTAATTATTATAATAAAATAAAATAACATAATTTTATGATTTTTACTTTGATTAAAAATACTAAACAAATACCGAAAATTCTTATATATCATTTGGTGACATTATCTTGAACAGTTTTTTTGTTTTTAGAGTTAAACCAAAAAACCAAAACTGATTATGTCAAAAACTGGTGTTGCGTAATAATATCCAGTTTTTCTTAATTTTTTTTTAGTTTCACAGATCCTTATGAAAACTATCGGGAATTTTCAATTTAAACCTCTTAAACGCACCAACTAGATTAATTTTCCCACCAGAAGAGTTACTGAAGTTTAAAGTCAAAACATTTTTTTTTGACTACTTATCGTGTATACAGACATAAACAAACAAAAACACATAGTGTTGTAAAATCAATACATTCATGATGACTCTAAAAAAGTAATATAATTAATAATTATTATAATAGATATTTTATTTTTTGGCCAAAATCAAATAGATACATTATAAATATTTATTCTTGATAAATAGACACAACATTTTTGAGATTATAATTATGAATTTATACATAATATTCTTTTTGTACGTTTTTCAGTTATGATGTAATGTATGTAGGTACCTATTATTAATTAATTATTTTATTAAAATTTGATTTTTGTTTGAGGCAAGGGGTAGATAAAAATTAAGTGGCAATCAGGAGTTAATTATAGGGGCTGTTGAACTCTAATTAATAATTAACCTTCACATCCCTCTAAAATTGGTGTCAAGTGGTATCTACGAGCTAAGTTTTGTTATTCTATTCATATATAATTAGTTTTTTAATTTGGTATACCTATAATTGATAAATTAAATTATAATTAACTACAAATTATTACCATTGTCCATTACATAACAGTTAATAATATTAATTATTTTTTTGTAATATATATATTAATAAATAATAATATTAATTATTATTATGTAATATAATACCGTATAATACAGTTATATATAGTGGAAGCATTCCTACACAGATAATGTAAGTTAGTATAATGACTAATCAGTAATCTACCAGGTGTCCAATAACCCAACAATAACCTTGCCTTAGAGTCCAGTTGAGAAGTTATATTTTAAACTATCCATGCAATTTTCAGATGCTTATATTTATACTTAGAGCTATAACCTATATGTTAGTGTATTATCTATGGGCTATGGCTATACATAATAATATATACATAATTAGTTGAATTAATTTAGTTAAGAGGACGTGTTCCCCGCATGTGCTGTCTCCGTCTTACAAGTGCGTAACATAGCAAATTCTACGCAAAGCAGAACACGTGTAGCTCCGTAAGTTTAAAAATTAGAGTGAATTGACCTCTTATAAAATCTAAAGGTAAGATTATTATCTAGACAACTTCATGGGATTTTTATTATATTTTAATTTTTAAACGAGCTATGAGTATTTTAAAACTGTAAATTGTTTATAGATCTTAAAGTACTCATAACAAGCTTAAAAATTAAAATATCATAAAAAACCCATGAGGTTGTCTAGATAATAATCTTACCTTTAGATTTTATAAGAGGTTAATTTACTCTAATTTTAAAATTAACGGAACTACACGTGTTTTGCTGAGCATACAATTTGCTATGTTACGCACTTGTAAGACAGAGACAACACATGCGGGTATCACGTCCTCTTAATAGTTGAAGAATTAAACTTAGGCTAGAAAATGATTTCTAATTTTAAATACCTACTCGTTTTTACAGAGTTTAACACTTAAAAAACAATTAGTAGGTTAAAAAATAAAAATTTACTAGATAACAATAAAGTATTTCATCTCCTACTATTATGTTTATAATATAGTATAAATGTATAATTTTAAATTATATTTATGATGATCAATACTTAAGTCTATGACTTATTGAGAACTCCTCAAAAAACTTAGTCTATGATTGTATCGTACAGATTTATTCGAAAGGGTAAAATCAATATTGTATCTTCATTGAAATTTTTAAATCACAATACATCATGTGCTATATTAAAATTAACAACCAATTTGCCGTCCATTTTTAGTAGGTATTTAATAATGATACTCAACCCATACTATACTTGATTCAATTAAACTTTAATCTTATCTCAACTGAAGTTTTAACTGAAAAATATGATTGATAGAAATTAATATCTACCTAGTCAGAATAATAATTCAACAAATAAAAAATTTTAAATTATGATGAGAGCTGGTGGTTTATTTTAACTATAGTAATATAAACCTTTAAACATATTATATAGCATGGTGAGAATGTGAGATGTTATTATCAACCGTTAGATAAGATTTCTTCTATAAATATTTGTATAATTATTTGTTCGTACAATGCTATAAAGTTATATTGAATAGTTAAAGTTATGCCTATAAATGTTTTACCTGAATCTAGTCAGTGCCGTGACGAAAACGCAAGTGACGTTTCAAACCTGGCGCAATTAGTAAAAAATAGGAAATATATGTATTCTATATACAGAATGTCCTGTGAGGATATACCTATAAGCCGTAGAAGGGGACTCGCCGCCCGGACAAAAACCGGTATTTTGCCGTTTTACCTATAAACTAAAAAAATTATTAATACCCATGAGATGAATGAAAATAAACTCTTTAGAACAGCTACCTATCTTCAATTGTTTCAAAATTAAAAAAATAAATTTTTTAAACTTTTTTCCCAAAAAATAAAATAAAATATATGTACCTAGTCTTTGTCTATGGTGTCTGTGAGTCAAATGAAAAAAAACAGATTTATGATATTAAATTTACTATTTTAGGAGATATTGCAATGTGTAAATCCTCAAGGGATACCTTGTATATTTAATACTCACATACCTAACGCATTTATAGGGCTTATACAATTGCACCAGGTAAACAACGGCCACTATGCCATTGAATTCAGTTAGGAAGTCTAATTGTTAACAATATTGAAGCCAAAGTGTTTAAAATACACTTTGACATCATAGGTACATCAAGGGGCCCCCTCTATCATGCTTCTTTTTAAAAAAAAAGAATTAGATGCAATCAAAGCACCTACATATAATGCAATGTTTAGTAATTTATTTTTACGTTTTAAAGTAAATTCTGGATCCTACATCTAAAAAATCTACTATGACATATGTCATAGATGAATTAGGTGATCGGCGCCACTGGTAGCCAAGCCTTCTTAAAGCAAAATTCTTACAAGTTATAATTCATGTGTGATTTCAGAAGAGGCAAGTCAGAGAAATACTAATTAAATTTATTAGAGAAGTTTTTTAAAAAAAAAAATATTTAAAAACTGCTGATTTGTTTTATTTTACTAAAATAAAGGATTATTTAGGATTAAATTAATTAAAATCAGAATGAATTAGATGATTTGAATGTTTATGTTAACTATAAAGTTAGTTGTTTGATACAGACTAGAAGATTGTCAGCAAAATATTTGTACTTTGTTTGGAAAAAAATGTATTTAATATTATAAATATTTTGTCAATTTATTAATTACTATTAAAAAAAAAAAATTTGTATTTTTATTTTTATTTTATTAATCTACAACACTTACACTTATTGTAAAAAATAATATATTTACAGATTGTGTAATAAAACTAATTAAAAAACAAAAAAAAAAAAAACTATTCAAAATTATTCAAGTCTCAATAAATAATTGATGGTTTTTATAAGTTATTTTAAAGTGGCTCTACTAATATTTAAACATTACCTCAACCTATGCTATAAAATAAATGATTAGGTAGGTACAAAATAATCGTTTCATCGTAACACTTACGGTTTTTTCTCATCGTTCTGTTTTAGAGGACTGTAGAGTTCAAAAATGTCTTCGGACGGCATAGTTGGAAGGGTCGAGTGTCAACCCTAAAAGTACAATATTTGCAAAGCGAGAAATATAAGTAACCAAGTACAGTCGTAGTAGTGTATCAGATGATTTAACAGCCAGCTAAATCTGTCTGTTGACCATCAATTCATCCACTGTTCGCATCGCCTGGCCGGTCTAGAGTCAACGGCAGGCTGGACGAAATGTCATCGAAAAACCTAAAAATATCGGTACCCGGTGGCCGAATCGACCAGTCGAAATCCAAGCGTCCTGCAATTGGGTGTTCCAAGATTGAAATGAAAAGAAAAAAAACACAAGACCCGCAGTTGGGGGTCAACGATCCGAACTGGGTAGGTCGTATGGTGAAAAAATTTATTAGTATGCGAAATTGCAATATGCCGAACACAATAATATTATTGTCGTTAACACCGCAGACACTCGAAGGTGATAACGGAGAGACACAGGACCGCGGTACGACGACTTGCCGGGTTCGACAAAACTCGGCTATTTAATCTAGCCATACGGTTATAGACGCATAATAGATGATTTCATCCGTTCCGCGATAGAGTTATCGATTATTGATATTGTCTATTGCACAACGCAAGCCGTACGGTGCCTCAATGATCGAATAATATTATGATTTACGGGGTAGGGTTACCTAAATATGCATTATAATTTATTTACATATTAATATAAATAACACACATGTCTTACAATATTGTTATGTTATTACTTCTTATCACTAGCAGCTCCTGTTGTTATTGTTGTGTTTACGCGAGATAATAATAATATGTTATCTACAATCATGTAATCGTGTGTTTATACTATTATAAAGCACGGACATAATAACATTACAATATAATATCCGTGCCATAAAGTAATAAAAATGGACAATTGAAATCTATTACAATAATATGGTCCAAGGTTTATTCTTTATAGTTTATACGATCATACGACTCCGGAATAACCAATAGAATATTATGATTTTTTAAAAATATTCAGCACGGATCCTATAGTACTCATAATATTATAATTTGTTCCTACATTTTTCCTATGTTTAAATAATATTATCCTATTAAAACAATATTTATTAAATTAACGTGTTTTAAGGGGAGGGGAAGTGTTGTAGGTTATAGATTCATTAATTAAATGTGTCCTTATTACTTAATTAATGTCTAGTTTAAAAATAAATTCTTTTAATTCACATACTGCTGATAAAATTATGATATTATTTTGTATTAGAATTAGCTTATTTTATACTTAAATGACATTTTAACCGTTAATTGGTAGTTTAGAAATGTAGAAAGATTAATCATGTTAATTGTGATATTTTATAATAATTAAAAAAAAATATTCCCATCGAAAATCCAGCGTGTGGCCGTGTCCCGTTTAGTTGTTTACTGTTTATGTTTACACTTTACGTAACCTTATCACAATATCACGTCATGTTATCAAAGGGCGGTGCGGCGGCACAGGGATGAAGTTGTCGGCGCGTCGGTGCGCAACCTAGACGCGAGATCCGCCGCGGGCCGTGCAATACCTTAACGGGGCTAAGTTCAGCCGTAGCGGGGCGGGGACGCGTCGCAAGTACCATCAAGGCATCAAAGTATCAAACACGAACTGCTCGACTGAGCGGAGCCTGGCTGCAGACCACTGGGCAGCATCGGGCGCCGAACCGACCAACGTGAGCCGAGTCGGCGAACCGCAGCCCGCCACAGCTGACGGCCGCATCGGTACGAGTGACTTACGGTGACGGCACATCACGGCTGCGGGTCGTCCCCATCTGTTCCGACGGTTCGTTAGCTGGTGCTTGGTGGTGGTGGTGGTGGAAGTGGTGCGGAGGCGGTGGTGGCGACGGTGGCCGACTCCCGAAAGCCGTTTCCTCGTCGTCATCCGACGTGGTGCCGTCGCGACTCGCGGACTCGCTGCCGTCAGTGGACAGTGGTCACAGACGTGTCCGCGCGCGCATGTGGTGTGTCCCCCGGTCGGCGGTCGCGGCCAATATTATTACTCATCGTTGACAAATGTAATATTATTGTATCGGTGTACCGCACACGTCCTCGCCACGTCCTGCTCCCCTCGACCGCACTCGACTCGTTGGCATTCCGTGTAGCGTTTCTCCGTGCCTGTCTCGTCGTCATGTCCGGTGTCGAGTAGAGACCGTCATTTTGTGTGCGTCGTGTGTACGCTTGTGTAGGCCCGTCGGGCGAACACAACCATGGCCGACGAGGAAGTGCTTTTCGACGATGTCTACGAACTGCTCGAGACCATCGGAAAGTGAGTGTCCTTATCCTGTACTTCGGTACCTATACCTACCGTAATCTACCTTATAGTATTATTGAGATTTAATTGTTCTCATCCACCCACACCCACCTTGGTACCTTTCTACCTTGGGTACCTTGACGGATCTGTAGGCAGATAGATGGTCGTGCTGAGAGTTCTCTCTGTCGTATACGCATGACTTGTTGTCGGACTTAATTTTAAATTTCCATAGCCCAGACATCCATTTGTCTGGTTGGGATGCTTTTGGTGTCACGAGCTGCAACCAGACGCGTCATTATCAACTTTTCATTTGGGTACCAAAATCTTTGGAGGCCATTTATTTTTAAAATCTTGACGTCTTATCCTATATGGTTATAAGGCAGAAAAGTAGTTAGCACTACCTGTAAGGTATGTGTGCCTCATAGCTTAACACATAATATATTACTCTATATAATATTGAACAAGTAAGTTGTAGGCTAGCTCTAAGATTTTAAATATAAGCAAGTAGGAATGCAGTCCAAAGACTTTGTTTTTGTCATTTTGATGGGTAATTAGGTTTTTAACGAGGTTTTTAATTAACCGATTTCACAATTGGGACTTACCTAGTTCATGTCATGTGGTTGTATTTTGTACATACACAACATTGTACCATGTAAAATTATCTTTTTATTATCATATATAATATATAATACGTTACACATTTTCTGTTGGTAGGTACCTAGTTGGATAATTTGTCGGATTATCTACAACAAAAATGTATATGCAATGTGTAAAAAATACAAAATACTGACTCAACATCAGGTTCAAAACATATTTTGGCCCTTTGGTTTGTTTTTATAGGCTTAAAAATGTGTTCTCATAGGTGCCATTATAGGCCCCCCCCCATAAATGTTGCTCGTGGTTGCAAGTTGCCACTTTTTGTGTTTTGAGTTGTGTCTTGATTAAAATTGATGCGATGTCTATATCCATCATTGGCCACAATTCAATTTAAAAGCGACAACAATCTACCTACCTCAATGCACTTTGCTTCTGTCTAGTCCAGAATTTCTATGGTAGGTGATAGTGAACGTACCTTCTGATGTAATTTAATTTTTTCTGATATTGTATGAGATCAAATAAATTGTTGCACAAGGGTTCATACCAATCATACAAATCAGTAGGTAGTGATATTTAATTAATAGTAAAATCAAGAGGTGGAAATTATTAAAGAGGAATTTATTGGTTTGTAATCAAATCTAAAAATTAGATGATAAAATTAAAAAAAAAATTATTTTCTCCTAACATTTTTAAACTTGAATAATTTATTTAGATTTAAATATCTAATTTGTTCTATGATTTGAATAAACAATTATATATTACCTACATATTTTATTCTATAGGTACAATGATTAAAATATATATTTAATTATAACTCAGGTAGGTTCCTATGCCAAATAATTTATTAGGTAGGATAATGATCGAATGGGTTATGTTATGGAGTTGATATTTTACATTTATGCGATGTGTATAATATTCTTAACCGGCTTTTAGTGAAAATCTAATTTAATTTATAATTGACATAGGTACAAGGTAGGTACCTACTAAAATCTACGACCTACCTATAAAAACTTTCATTACTTATTAATATAAAATTATATTTAATAATTTAAATGCCGTTTGAAAAAAAAGGTATAAGTAAACACAAATGTAGATACAGATCAAAATTAATTTACACATGCAATAGTTTTATTTTCTCTATTATGACGTTTGGTTTGACTGTGTGTTATAAACATTTACTACACATTAATATATTAATTTTAAATGCAATCATGAAATCATGATTGGCGTTTATATATATATAAAATAAATAAAAAATAGGTATTTATGATTTCCAAACTGTGGCTGGGTAGGTACCTACCTAATAGTTTGTTAATACAAAAAAAAAAATCAATTAGGTAATAATAGTATTTAAGCAAATTTAAGTTTAATTAAATTATGAATGTTAAAAATTTAAAATAGAAAAATTAGTCAATATCAATATAATTAACCAATTTAGCTGTTCTATATGGCATGCATTTATTGTATAACAATTAAAAGTAAAAGTATTTTAAAAAAACTACATAGACAAGTTTATCCATCTGTTTCTCCCTATTTCGTTGACCCCTTTTATTTATGGATGTATCATGTAATCAAACTCATTGACTTTAAAAAAATGTATAAACCCTGTTTGTAAACTTATATCCTTTTATATTATTTTAAAATTCAATTTATTTTACATTCTAACTATTTATCTATTGATGATTCACACATTTTTAAATCTTTTATTAAAATAGTTGATTTTGCTTTTAATGTTGTGTTAAATAATATTGTATATCTTTTAGATATTGTCCAGGATACTGTAGTTATTGAATAGGGACATTTATTTATATTATGTTATTTAATTATTTAATAAGTAGGTATTGTAAATAATTTTTGTCACACTTGTTGTTTATTATTTTATTTATAAAATGTTAACCTTATAACTATGTATAAATTATAGTCTATTATTGAATATTATATTAAGGAACTTAAATCATAGTATTTCAGTATAACATTTTTAGCAATTTCTGGTAATTCTTTTACTTGAAATTTGTATACAGTACTGTACAAGTCATCCATTATATTATTTTTAAATAAATCAATAACTGTAGGGATCACTTGTAGAATTTGATTATTTGCAAATATTGATTTGGCAATTTTTGGGATATTAATATTTCCTATATGATCTTTGCTGTCCGTGTATAATTTAAAATTTTTTAATAAGAACCATGTCATAATATCTTGGTCAAAAATTAATTCTTCGCATGATGATTCAGATGTTTCATTATTGACAGGATTCACATATTCTATGTGGGTACCTACTAGTTCTCCAGTCACTTGACTAATGTCACTTTCTGATTCTTCGTATTTATAAATAGATTGTTTTGGATGTTGGATTTTCAAATCAAATGGATTCCAACCAAAAATTAAACTAAATGATTTCCCTAAACCAATACTTGGTTTTTCGTCTCTGCAAAATGCTAAAAGCATAGTACTATAATTAAGTCCATCTTGGACTTGATACATATCATATAATAACCATTTAGCATCATTTTGTTGATTTGATTCATTTTCAAACCATAATTGTGTCGCTTCATAACTTTCTATTGTTATTGTCTCATTTCCAATATCATAATCTTGGAATAATTTTCGATAAAACAATAGTTGTTCAATTGTTGGATAAGGAAGGTCC